CCCCACCCCACCCTCCCCACGCTTCACGCACGGCTTACCCGCTTGCCGACGTCACTGCCTGTGGCAAGAGTCTACATTGCATTTCCTCCGCTATGGGGCTCTGCAGTACTTGTCGCAGGTCCTTGCCCGGGAATAGCTGCTCACAGAGGGCTGCGGGCAGGTCGGTCGACGGCCCTAGCAATGCCGCGGCGACGACGTCCTCACGCGCCCCTACAAGCTCCTACAGGACAGAAGACCTTATGTAAGAACTCATAACAGGACAGACCGTGTGTAAGAACTCCTAACAGAACAGACCTTATGTAAGAACTCCTAACAGGACAAAAGATCTTATGTAAGAACTCCTAACAGGGCAGAAGACCGTATGTAAGAACTCCTAACAGTACAGACCTTATGTAAGAACTCCTAGTAGGACAAAAGACCTTATGTAAGAACTCCTAACAGGACAGAAGACCTTATGTAAGAACTCCTAACAGGACAGAAGACCTTATGTAAGAACTCCTAACAGGACAGAAGACCTTATGTAAGAACTCCTAACAGGGCAATATTCTTGGCGTAGAAGATCTTGCACAAGACAGACGACATCATGCAATGGCTCATACAGGGCAGGTCATATCACACGTAAGGATCGTTGATAATGAACCCATGCGTACATGTATCTGTGTATGGCATCTGTACGTTCATCACTAACTGCCTACTGCGGCCTTATTAACCGTAATGAAAATCTCTTGCCTGCACGAGAACCTTCACTTGTCACGTCCATTTAAGTATAGTATGATGATAGCTTCCATTGAGATGATTGTCCAATCAGTCTATTCGGGTACTGTATAAACTATAACAACGACGGTTGTTATACACAACACACATATACGCCACATGCACATCGTACAACGACAGCATTGGTGTCCGTAGCGTATACTCTACCTCGTCAATTCTCGTCTACCCTCGTGCTCTACACGATTGCACCCCCCCCGTACATGAGCGTTACCTGTAACTTGAGTCTACACGTGGCCCGTGTCGCGTAGACGTCGGCGTCGCGCGGGTTGTAGTGCACGGCTTCGCTTAGGTGATGCACGGCTGTCTGGTACTGATGCTGCTCGTGACAGCTGCGGCCTACCTGAGCGTGCACTGCTGCTAACCTATACAAGCAAGCAGGCGACCGGGAAACGGCTTCAGTGTGTTAGGTTTTCACTGCAAAATCTTAGGGGTAGGTAATAATTAGAATAATAATCATTATTATTATTATTAAAAGGGGAAACGTAATGGAAATGTAGGGAAGCAAGTGAGAAGTGTATAGTATGCGGCGCACAGGCTGTCGTAGGAGAATCTTCTTTTATTTCTTTCCCACACGGTTACACTTTTCGACCAGTGTTATCTTCCCACTTCCCACCACCCCCGCTTCTAGCTTATTCCTTCACTTATATATGGGGGCGGTGTGGTCGGGTGTGACGTGGTGGTCTACAACATTGATCGGTGACGTAACATGGAGCATTCCTGGATCTCGCCCGGCTATAGCCGGTGGCCTATTCTCCCTGTTGCATCATCTATGCATGCGTTACACTACTGTGGCTACCCTCTTTAGTGAGGGTCCGATGGCCGTAATTCCGACGACTCATGACTAAAGGCTAATGACTTATGACTAACCACCTCGCGGGCCATCCTACTACCATTATACTAAGTGCGTTTCAACGTGTTTGTGATCCAAACGTCCGAAATTAACTCGCATAATTTTGCATCGCTACATTATTATTATTGGACTATATTGTCTATTTTTGATTTCTTCATATCAGATCTTGTCTCCAATGAAGGGCATTCACGTCACCTCGCTCACCTTACATGGATGGACGGGTCTGTCGGATCCAGCTCAAAGGCCTGTTGATAGTCTGCCATTGCGGCGTTCACGTCTCCTTCCGCGTGGAAGCAATCTAGCAGTTCAGTAATATGTAAAATAGGAGCAGCGCGTGAGGGCACTGCGTGGAGGGATCGCAGCGCGCCGATGTGACGCGTGTTATGCACGACGCTTATTATATGTGACGTACGCTATGTAGTCCTTTTGGCCGTTATGCACTCACTCTGGCAATTAACAGGAGCGCACCCGGGTGCCATTAATATAATACCAGAAATAGATAATAGGGAATAGGGGATAAGGGGATAGGGGGATAGGGGGGGGTCCCTATTATCTACTTCTGATAACACCAAGAGTCCATAATAGAAGA